TGTGTGTGTGTGTGTGTGTGTGTGTGTGTGTGTGTGTGTGTGTGTGGTGTGTGTGTGTGTGTGTGTGTGTGTGTGTGTGTGTGTGTTACTTGGCGATGTGTGGTCGCCAACGCGCGATTTAAGTATATCTTGAAGGCACTCAAGGCGAAATTGTTATCACATTGTCCAAATCTGGTCATGTTTGTAGGACCATCACGTCAAGCTCGATGCCAGATGCTGCAAGCCCCTGAGTCCCCCCCGTCACACAGACCCGGGCACGGTTTGGCCAGAGAGGGGCAGAGGGGCACGTATGACGACGAGGGCCTTTTTTTGGAATCATGGATCCCCAGGGACGTCCATGTTCATGAAGATTTGGATAAGATCAAAAACCAACTGTGCTCTTGTCGACTTGAGCCATTCTTTTTCTTCCTTGGAGTCGTATTTGTTTTTGCGCACTTCCGGAATAAGAAATAAGTAAACAAAGTTCCGTGTTGACGACTTCGCGTATAAGAGGTTTACAGCAGTTTTGAGCATATATAATACCACGGCTGCAACCTCCCCCTCTCCTAATTCGATTGCTATCGGAATCATGGGCACCATTCTCGTGACCGTTTAGCACCCTCCAGTACTCTCTTGGCAGTCTTCAATCAACGACACAGGTCCTCCGGTCAAAAACGCAACCTGCTCGTTAAATCAACGGCGCCTACTCCTTTTCGTGTCCAGCCCCTGACAAGAACAACATCACACGACGTACATGCCCGACACAGAAGAGGCACAACGACACTTACACCGAAGCAGCCGCACAACATTAGAGTGTATGGGTCATACCTCTTCCTCTATCCAGACATGGATTGACAACAGAACTGAGTCTGGTATATCAGCACAGACGGAAGAAACCGATCACCATGGAATTGATTCGTCAAAAGTGATTGAAACGAATATAGATGGATACAAACATCCGATTTTGTGGAGGTCCAAACCAAAATATGACTCTTTGAAGCGAGGTATCTTTCAGAGCACACACATGCTTTTGTGTTCACTGAGGTCCGAAGTATAGTTGAGGCCGAATGGTATTCGTTTGACGAGTTAATTTCACAGCTTGAGAAGCCATCTTCTACGGCTGAACCATACCCACTAAGGGTAAGGAAAGTCAAGTTACTACTAACAAACAGTTGTCAGCTGTGCGAAGAACCAAGTACCCCCTGCCTGCTACGGAGTCTACAACCAGAAAAGCTCAGACTCGCGCAGACGGACGCCAGAAACCCCATCAATAGCCATTCACCATGAGATGGACGGCTCTGTACGCAATTCTTGTCCCTGGAATACGTCATACTGCATGGAATACAAGTGGAACGAGATTACTGAGCTGTGCAACCAGCTCCCCGTCAACATTGGGTAAACAAACAACATGATGCTGCAACACTGTTAACTGAAAATAATGATAAGCGGTACACAATACACAAAGTAACAGAAATAGTATCCGAGGGAACTAAGGGTGTCTTACTTATTCACAACCCTGTTGGATGATATCCTTTTGCTCTCTCTCTCTCTCNC